AGGTTTAGTTTGGGTATTGGAATTACATTGTCATCGGGTGTAGGAAGTTTAGAGAGGGCAAGAAATCTACCCCACTGCCAACCCCACTGACTACCTATTCTCTACCAATGTCCGTCCCTTTCGTTCTCCAAGAAGCCTTTGACCCCTGATCTATCCATTCTCTGTTGTGTCAAGGTGCTTTGTTTGAACAGAGCATCTGGAAGGAGCAGAGTCCTTTAAACACATGTTGGGAAATATTGACTTAAAGGACTTTATACCTTCTTGCCCCCTGAAAGTGGGGAAGAGAGCTTGCAGTTGCATAGACACATAGAGTTCTGGAACTCACATATATGGCTTTTATTACTCCTGAAGTCTCACTTCTTAGCTCCTAAACTTCCTTCTAAGGTTTTTCTACAAGAAAATTTGATTTCTCCCAGACAAAGACAGCATTCGTTTTGACAGTTGTATCCCTTTACACATCTGTGAAAGCCATCCATTCTCAACTCCTTTCTCCATCCTTCTAGAACTTGAGGTTTGCCAGGGGATGTGCCGTAACATTATCGAATTTGTGTATGTGGTGGAAAAAATAGTACCATTTAGTATGTTATACTTCTGGAATAGATCTTTAGGAGAGAAAACACTAGAAAAGTAGTCTCTTCTCACTGGGATTCAGTGAATCACTTGAATTCTGAGTGAGATTCAGATAAATCACTTGAATATGTATGAAAAGATGTGTTCTTTCTATTTTTTTTTTTTTTTTATAATGTACACATGCATATGAGGGGACTTAAGAAAGTTTGTGAAAAAAAGTGGAATTAATAGAAAACAAAAATTTCCAACTTTTTTTATACCGTCTACATGCACTGCATCCCTACAGATGCATGTGTCCTAGAATGCTTTTTTATTTATTTATTTATTTAAAAGCAATTGTAAATTTGGTGAAGGTTTATAGAGCAGATAAGTTTTCCATTCAACAAATCATACACATGTAGTTGTATCTCATTGATTGCAATCTCTACAATGTAACATCACTTATCCCACTTCCTCCCTCTGTTTCCTGTTTTTTCCTTTTCTCCTTCTTTCCTAACCTTCTGAACTTTGTCCTTGGGTAAATGCTGCCCTTTGGATCTCAAATGGTTTGATTATTCCAAGGTGTGTGTAACATACTAGTGTTATTTTTCATCTTACATCCCTGAAAATGAAATCTTACATGGCTGAAAATTAAGCCGTGATGGTAAGTTTATTTACAGACCTGAAGAGTGACTGAGGGCCATCGTCTGAGGGGCTCTACCAGGCTTTGTCAGACCAGCAAACCTAGTCTTTTTTATGATTTTGAGCTTAGTTCCACATTTTTCTCCCACTCCATCCAGGATCTTCTAATGTGATCCCTTTCAGAGCAGTCGGTACTGTTACTCAAATACCTCTAGTTCTTCTGGTCTCAGGGTCATGGAGAGTGATGTTCATGTGGTTCATTAGTCCTTTCCACTAATGGGTTCTATGTATCTTCGATTTTCTTCACTCATTTTTTCCTTCAGACATAGAGAGACCAATAGTTATGCCTTAGATGGCCATCACAAACTTTTAGATCCCACTCACTAATCATCAAAGTAGGATGTAGACCATTGTCTTTGTGGACTGTAGCATGACAGTGTTTGTCCATTTGTGATTGATTAATTTCATGTTGGAAGGCACTTTTGATCATACTCTACTTCTTGAAATGGTTGAACATTAGCCATTTCTTTTTGGTACAGTGACTGTGTGTATTCCTTCCATTTTTTTTTGATGCTTTCTGCATCATTCAATATTTTGCCCACAGGATCCTACAATATTGCAAGTCAAAGTTTGAATATTTTTTATTTTCTTTCAGCTTGAGAAGTTCTGAGCATGTTTTTTCCTTTGGATTTCCTAACTCCAAATCTTTGCACATTTCATTATTATACTTGGCTTGGTTTTCTCAAGCTACCCTTTGAAATTTTCTTTTTGTCTCTCTTACCTCCTAATTTTTTCCATTTGCTTTAGCATCTTTACTCTGGAAAGCAAGTTTCAGAGTCTCTTCCGACATCCATTTTGGTCTTTTCCTACCTTCTTGTCTTTCTTCCTGTATAACATTCTTGATATCATTCTACAACTTTTTCAGTCATTAGTGTCTAATATATCAAATCTGTTCTTCAGATGATCTCTAAATTTAGGTGGGATATGTTCAAGGTCATATTTTGGCCCTCGTGGACTTGTTTTCATTTTCTTCAGCTTCAGCCTGAACTTGCATATGAGAAATTGATGGTCTGTTCCACAATCTACCCCTGGCCTTGTTTTAGCTGATGATATGGAACTTTTCCACCATCTGTTTCCACAGATGTAGTCAGTTTTATTTTTGTGTGTTCAGTCTAGTGAGGTCCATGTGTATCGTCATATTTTATGTTGTTTTAAAAGGTATTTGCAATGAAGAAGTCACTGGTCTTGCAAAATTCCATCATGCAATCTATCACCATTTCTATCACTAAGGCCTTATTTTCCAACAACTGATCCTTCTTCTTTGTTTCCAGCCTTTGCATTCCAATCGCCAGTAATTATCAGTACATCTTGATTGCATATTTAGTCAAGTTCAGACTGAAGAAGTTGGTTGTTGTTGTTGTTGTTATGTGCCGTCGAGTCGGTTCCGACCCATAGTGACCCTGTATAGGGTTTCCGAGGGTGTGAATCTTTACGGGAGTAGAAAGTTGGTAGAATTCTTGAATTTCATCATCACTGGCTTCAATGGTTGGTGTGTAAATTTGAATAATGGTGGTATTAACTGGTCTTCCTTGTAGGCATATGGTTATTTTCCTATCACAGACAACATTATACTTCATGATAGATCTTGAAATGTTGTTTTTGATGATGAATATGATATCATTTCTCTTCAATTTGTCATTCCTAACATAGTAAACCATATGATTGTCATATTTTAAATCCCCAGTACCAATCCATTTCAGCTTTATGCATTCCATTTAATTTTTGACAACTTCCAATTTTCTTAGATTCATGCTTCTTACCTTCCATGTTCTGATTATTAATTGACATTTACAGATGTTTCTCCTCATTTTGAGCCCCATCAGCAAATGAAAGTCCCATAAGCTTACTCCATTCAGGTTAATCACGGTCAACTCTACTTTGAGGTGGCAACGCCTCCCCAGTGGTATTATCATTGCTTTCCAGCCTGAAGGGCTCATCTTCCAGCACTGTATCTTGCAATATTCTGGTGCTATTCATATGTTTGAATAGTCAATATTCTGATGCTCTCTGACAGTGTTCCACTGCTATTTATAAGGTTTTTAGTTGCTAATCATTCAGAAGTAGTCTGCTTCTCCTGCTTCCTAGTCTGTCTTGGTCTAGTCTGGAAGCTCAGCTGTAACCTGTCCACCATAGGTGGCCCTGCTGATATTTTAACTATAAGTGGTATAGCTTCCAGTATCACAGCAACACACAAACCACCACAGTACAACAAACTGACAGTCAAGTGGTGGAATGTCCCATGTGTGTTTGAAAAGACTGTATATTGTGCTGTTGCTGCATGAAGTGTTCTGTATATTTGATGAGGGTATGTACATTGGTTGATTATGTTGTTTAGTACTTTTCTGTCTTTTTTGAGTTTCTCTCTAGTTGTTCTGTCCTTCATCAAAAGTGGTGTATTAATGTCTCCTGGTGCGTCACTGTAGGATAACCACTGGACCACGAAGTTAATTTGAACCACAAGGTTGGCGGTTCAAACTCATCAGCTGCTCCTCGGAAACCCTATATAGAGCTGCTATGCGTCGGAACCGACTCCACGGCACTTAACAACAACAACTATTATTTTAGATTTGTCTGTTTCTCTGCAGTTTTGTTAGAGTTTGATTTATATATTAGAGGTTCTTTCTTTGGGAGCATGGATAATCATTATAGATATGTCCTCTTGTTCAGTTAACCCATGAATCATGATACAATGTCCTTCCTCATTTCTTATACTGGTTTTTGCCTTAAAGTTTATTTTATCAGAAATTATATTGCCACTCCTGCTTTTTTTAAATTGCCATTGATTCATGTATTTTTTTCCAACTTTGATTTTGTCTATTTTTATCTTTGTGTCTAAATTTTGTCCCTCATAGAAAGTATACTGGTGAGTCGCTTTTTCTTACCCCTTTTTCTACTGTCTGTCTCTTGACTTTTGCACTTAATTCAGTTCCATTCAGTATAATTACTGGTAGGAATTGTTGCTATCATTTTGCTGTGGGTTTTCTTGTGATGCTACTGATTTCTTTGTTCCACTATTTCTTTGCACTATGTTCATTTTGTTTATGGGTTTTCATGTCATTTTCTTTGTTGATGTTGTTTCAGTGTTTACTAAATCTTTATAATTTTCCTCTTTTTTTTATTTTGATGTGTAGATTTTTTCATTTTCTTTGAGGTTACCCTGTAATTTATTAATTCCTTCCCAAGTGTAAACATTGTGTTCTATCTTGAAGTTGACGTGATTTCTCTCCAGATTGTATTATTTGTAAAGAAAGATAATAATTCAAGGTTAGAAGTGACCTGTAAGCAGTATGTGGTGGTTATGTGCCGTGGAGTTGGTTCCGACCCGTAGCGACCCTGTACAGGGTTTCCGAGGCTGTAAATCTTTATGGGAGCAGAAAGCCTCATCTTCCTCCTGTGGAACAGCTGGTAGTTTCAAACTGCTGACCTTGCGGTTCACAGCCCGATTCATAACCACTACGCTACCAGAGCATTATAGTTGACACCAAACAGTATGTCTGGCTTCTTGGCCAAGCATCAAATTTGGAATACTACATACCCTAGCCTAACTTGAGATCAGCAGCTGGGGTCACTTGGCCTGGCTCTAGTTGTATTGATTCCACTTCAGTGACATGTTTTGCTGGACCACAAGAAAAACTGAGGTTTACGTTCTCAAGTGAACAGAATGAATGTGTTCAATTCTACTTGAAATGTTTTTCATAATTACTTTAAGCAATGACTTGATTCTTACTTGTGCTTATTCTTTTTAAAAGTATTAGAAAGGAAGATATCTACAAGACAAAGTAGAGAGGAGCTGATAAGAAGGGGAGTTCTTAAGGAATTGACTGATCAAGGTGAGGAAATTAATCATACATGTAAAATAATTTGATCTTTCATTCTCTGATCTTTCTTTCCATTTGCTTTGAAACTGAAGATGATCTTAATCTGTGGCTGATAAAGCAGGGATAATGCACTCCAAGATTCTTGCTTTAATCTGCATGTAGGCTGTGAGAGGTCTGAGTTATTATAGGAAAACTTGTGTGACTTCTCTGGTGAATCCTTTACTGTATGTCACTTTAAACCCACAGTTCTACAAAGGTACATCATTTGTGACTAGACATATAGATAAGATACAAGTGCATGGTTCTTTCTCTTCACGAACTTTAGTCTTTCTACACATGTTAACTCAGTAGTCTGAGCAAATGCAGTTTTAGTTTGGTTTATACCTTGTTTGTTTCTTAACTACCAAGAAAACAAAAGAGAGGTAGACATGTTTCTCAGCCTTTGTGCTCTAAAACACACTCAAATGTAAAACTGATAAGGCATGAATGAACAAATGAAACTAATTTGCTGTATGCATTCTCTCAAGTCATTTTCCCACTTCCATGTTCATGTCTCTGAATCTCATTGCCCCTCAGCTTTTCACTAACAATTAACTATTTCCAAGTATTCTTTTCTTTTGCCTCTAATTGTCCCTTTTATAGATCTCTTCCCATAGGACAATCTTGCTAAAAATGGCAGGATTCGATAGAAACGGAGATTGACCCACAAAAGACACTAACATTCATTATTTCTCGAAATGATGCCTAGTGGTTTAAAACTGCTTCCAATACTATGAAAACTAAAGTAAACTTTAGTTGTGGTATTATTGATTTATCACAAGCCTTTTCTCCTGTAACATTTACTGGGGTAAAGTCGTAGTATCATGCTTCAGCAACAAAGAAAATGTTCATTTAGAATTGAGATCATAGTAGCACTTCTCTTCCCTCATATATGTTCCTTACAAAAACCTTACCTTTTTTGGCATTCACTATTTATAAATCCAGATGACATACTTTTTCCAATATCAGAATAATTCCAAAATACTGTTTTTACACCCACTTCAAAGAAAACAAGGGTATCTGGAATGAATCATACCATTTTTCTTGAGCCTTCACAATTTTAAGTATTTCATTTCAATTTCTGATCTGTCAAACTTTTCTCCTGGACACTTTATGAGTGAACTTCATGTATTTCCCAATTTCCTATAACCTTGAAGCTATTGATTTCATGTGTAAGACACTGATACACAAAAAAAACTTAATGTATATCCCTCACTTTTTTTTTTTTCTTTTTAACTTGAGGAGGTTGGGCCTGCAGTATGAAAATTCATCTCTTATGGAAAAATTCCATATCCACAGAAAGCTGAGCCATCAGCTTTAAGCAATGGGCCAGTGTATTTCTTTGGAATCCTCATTCATTAACAGAGAGGGGAAAAAATGGAAATTTTATAATTGAGGCTGTTAGTGTGTTTTAAAGCTAGAAATTGAAGGTACTTTTTTCCCCATTAAAAATTATAGATACACAAAAAATGTGCTTTTTCAAAAAGTAAGTAGCAATGCTCAGTTTAAAGAAATGCTTACAATTGCTTGGTTTTATTCTGCCACTTTGTTAAACTATGTTGTTAAGTTTCATCGAGTCAGTCCTGACTCAGAGCCTGGTATAGGGTTTCCAAGGAGTGGCTGGTGAGTTTGAACCACCAACATTTTGATTAGCAGTCCAGTGCTGATCCTACAGCACCAAACCAGGACTCCGTGTTTGTATGACAGATTATAACTTATTCAACCAATATGTATTTATTTCTGGTAAGTCTGGCTATACTTGACCTTTCCATTTAACATGACAGCTGAACTTTAAAAGTGTCAAAATACTTTTTGAACCCAGTTTTAACTTAAACATAATAATAGATTTAATATTTGAAAATCCACAAGCAACTGAACTTCCTGCCTTTAGGGAAATCACAAATGACTGCACTGTCTACCTTTATAAATCCTATTGCCAAATTGATTCCAACTCATGACAGCGCCCCGTGGGTCACCGTAGACCTGAGCTTCACAGGGTTTTCAGTGGCAGATCTTTCAAAAGGAACTCACGAGGGGTTCCTTTTGAGGTGGACTCAACCTCCAGCCTTTCAGTTGACAGCCAAGCATGTTAACTGTGTGCACCAGCCAGGGACTCTGGTCCCTATATTGTTGTTGTTGTTAAGTGCCGTCGAGTCGATTCTGACCCATAGTGTTTCTGAGGAGCAGCTGGTGAGCTTGAACCGCTGACCTTGCAGTTCAAACGGCTTTACAGTCTGACGCATTAACCCACAGCACCACACCAGGTCCTTTATAGAGCTATAGAAATTGCCTAATGTTTGCACCAGCCAGGGACTCTGGTCCCTATATTGTTGTTGTTGTTAAGTGCCGTTGAGTCGATTCTGACCCATAGTGTTTCTGAGGAGCAGCTGGTGAGCTTGAACCGCTGACCTTGCAGTTCAAACGGCTTTACAGTCTGGCGCATTAACCCACAGCGCCACACCAGGTCCCTATATAGAGCTATAGAAATTGCTTAATGTTTGGAAGTTCCCAGTAATGCCTATTGTAAGTAGCTTCCTCCCCTTTTCAACCAAGGACTGCAGAAAGTAGTTTTATTGTCCCCAAAACAAATTAACTTGAGAATTTCAGTCTATTTATAGCTCTAGAGGCAGTTGTTTTGGGTGACAACCTCTTCTTTTCTGCCAATGAAGACTCTTTCCTTGCCTTGATCTTCTCGGTCTTACCTTAGCTCTTGACAGTCCTTGTCAGTTATGGCCTGCATTCACAAGCCAGGTAGATATTTTAAATCCTTCCAGATAACCAGGATTTGACCTTATACCCTCCCACTCTACCTCATCTCCTTGAGTTACTGTTTTTAGTCCTTTGAAATTTTGTGTCTTAAACCAAGCTCTACCTTCAATCTAAAAGTTCAGCCATTGGTCTTCTCTTCTGAGAAGTTCGTAGACTTAGTTCAAATCTTGTCCTTATGTTCTGGTTCTTTCTTTCCATCTTTTTCCTTAACTGTAATTTGAGGGCATATAGATGCTTTTACCCATATACCTTTCTCCTTTCTTCTCCCACTATGTACTTTCTAACCTTTGTTTATGTGTGATTTTTTTTTTCCTACTCTCTCTTCCTCCTTTAACAATACTCCGGATTCATCTGTTTTCTATCTAACAAGAGATCGATCAACCCCTTCAAACACTCTCATGTGTATTATTTGTTTTTTTATGTTTTGTTTCATGATTTACTCAACTTTTCCGAGTTTCTCTTTTCTTTGTATGCAAATACTCCTATTTGACTTTGCCTTGGTCTACCTAGCTTAGCATCTTCTCTTGCCTTTTCTAGTTCTGCTTATATTTTAATCATATGCATAAACCATATCAAAGATTAAACATTTTAATTCTAAAACAAATTTCTTAATGCAGAGCATTTTGCATTAAGAAGGTTGTTTTAGAATTAAAATATGTTAAACTATTCTAATTTAAAATGTAAAAACTTTTTCAATATACTAACAAATTAAATATTGATCAGCATTATGACATCAAATAATTCTGTTCTCTCTTTTATTTTTGAATTTCTCCATTTCCATTTCTCTTAATTTATCACAGATGTGTCCTTTTTATACATTATTTTCATATATGCTACATTTATTTCATGCATCCAAGTATCTTTTTCTATATGACAATTTCTATCATGTGATAATCCATTTTCTTCTTCTGCCACAACTATTTCATTTTTTATCAGTTTTTTTTTTGTTCTGAATTTCAAAAACTAGTGATTTAAGTCTCTTAAGAATTGTAACTCAATAATGTTTGCAATATATTTCAATTGCTGTATGACATGACTCCAACATATTTTTATTACCAACTAAAATCAAAGAAAACAAAGATAAATGCATATTTGGTAACCTAAAAACTGAGGGTTTATGATTTTTGTTTTGCTTGTAACTTCCTACTTTTACCTCAGTTTTTATTTTACTGAGCCCAATATGTATATAGTATTGGCTTTTCTTTTTCTAGCTTAAGATTCCAGATTTAAAGCTAAGAGCTCTTTGGGGTTTTTTTTGTTGGTTTTTTTTTTTTTTTTGCTTGACATACGCTCTTTTACTAATTTTTACCTTAACTTCTTTTAAATGGTTAAAATTTATTTGCAACAGCATTGCCTCTAATTTTTCATTTTAGTTTTATAGGAATCAGAATATAGGTACCTGGAAATTGTATGACTAAGCAACAATTGAGTTTTCATTTTGAGCATGACATTATTCCATGATCATATATTTTACTTATGTCATGTCTGTTTTGGTTAATAAGACCAGTGGATTCCATTGTAGAATCAAAGCAATTCAATCATAGTTAGTGGATATTGGAAGATGGTCTCTGTTTTATAATGATCACCAAAATAAGTTTATTTAAAAATTGGATAAAACTATAGTCATGGGTTCATCAGGCTTGCTAAGTCAAAGTCTCAAGTCATTCATTTTTGGGGGACAGTAGCAAACCTTCTTAAAAATTTTTAGATATGAACAAAGATTAATCTTTTCAAGCATTACTGAGTTAAGAGTTTCTGCAAAAATCTCACCCAGTAATGAATCCCATAGGGGTGCAGTGGCTCCATACAATAAGCACTGGACTGTGAATCACAAGGTCCACAGTTTGAGTTTGCTAGCCACTCCTCAGGAGAAGCATTGAGGCTTTTATAGTCATGGAAACCCCACACAGAGTCTCTGTGAGTCAGGACCAATTCAGTGGCACTTAACCACAAAAACAGATGAACACCACAGTAATTGTGAAACTTCAGAGGATAAAATTGGTTGTTTAGCATATAGATCATATACATTTTATTTTCAGCTGTGATTTTTTAAAATCCTCTGTAACTACTTTTGTATGTGACTTTTCTGTAATGTTTTCAAATGATCAGTAGGCCAAATTAAGGACCTTTGATTAGTTATCTATGTAACAATTTAAGTGAATCCTTTTTAAGTATTTCCACAAACAAGAAAATGAACATAAAATGGTCTTGCTACCTGTTTTCTCTGAGCTGCAATTCTATTACGGTGTAAAGTTGCATAGAATTGATGTCATATGCCCTGGAGTCATTGGTACTTCAGAAATTTTCATGTTCTCCCACAAATTGCCTGTATGTGTAATTCCATTTCATGTCATTTGTGTATTTGCACGTACTCTGTGTTTTTGGTGTTAAAATATGTATTTCATTTTTCAGGTTACTCCTCTCACAGTTCAGTTTCTACCTGACAAAGAGACTCATAAGTATTGATGTCACCAAAACCTAAGAACAAAAACAGAGTCAAATCCCTCAACTGCCTGGGATGTTTTCTAATTAGTCTCATTAGCCCTCTTGTCTTGAGATGGCAAGTGAATAGCGCTCCCAGAACCACTTTCCCCTAAGACTCAGGCTTTACTAGCTCTTTCCTTTGAATAAATTATTAAGTAAATTATGGTAAAAACAGTACAGTATATCTTGAACCCAGGAACTGAAATATGCATCCAGATCTAATAATCCCAGTAAGTGGAAAACGGGTTTTTAAGAAAGCCATCAAGGTAGACATCTAGGTGTTTCTTTCCCCATTTTAGATGGAGATGTAACAGTTAACTTTGAAAATTCAAACGGGCACATGATACCCATCGGAGAGGAATCCACCAAAGAGGAAAATAGAGTAAAATCTGAAGAAGGTAATGGCTCTGTATCTGAAAAGGCGCCACCTCCAGAAGAAAAGGCAGAAGATAAGAAAGGTAAAAATAAAGAGAAGCCCCCATGTATTTTTCTTTGATACAGCTCAGTGTTGAGAACCAGGCTCTGGGCTCCAAATAGTGACTCTAAGCAAGAGAAGTGGTTCACAGGTTCAACCACAATGAGAAGTGGTAACTAGTGAACAGAATTAGGATTTCTTTAGGTAGATCCAGCCATTTTATAGGCATGTGATTTCATTTCTTATTAAAGAAGGCTCATGAAAGGGAAGGGTGACCTCTTCAGTCATTAGAATTGTCTGGGAATATTGCTTTTTCCTCAGGAGCCCTTTGTTGCATCTTCATAAAAAAAGAAAAAGAAAAAGGTCAGAAATCTAACTATGTTCCTGTCCTGGTTAGAATGAGTTCCTGTGTGTGGTCAGCATGGAGGGCTATCAAAACCCAGAGGATGCTCTTTTCCAGCATCCCATCTCTGAGCACTTGGCTGATGACATCCACACACCCAATGCTGTAGATTCTAGGCTGGGTTCTAGACAGTTCTGAGGGATATCCAGGAAGCTTGGTGAGATGCCAGGAACGTCAGTGTCTGTCCCTAGTGAACTGATGTAGCCTCTGTTCTATGACTCTTCTTATATGCAGCTGGGCATTTAAAACCCACGACTTAGACACCGTACCATTCCCTGCAGGCTTCCTTTGAGACCTTGGTTTCTAGAGTGAATGCACTATGTTAGACTGAGAGATCTTCAAAATAAATGTCCATCAAGGAGCACAGCCACAAATTCATGGTCACTGAATGATCAAATCCCAATTTCACTGCTATGCAAGCCTGAACTAAAATCCCCTCTGGGCTAGTTCTAGACTTTGTTTAGAGCTCATAGATGACTCCATGCAGAATAGAAATGAATTCTAAGGAGATCTGTTATCTCCAGTCCTGTGATGTCTGCAGCCTTTGAACTGGATGGCAAAAGTTTGTCAAATCTAGTTTGACTACTACAGGCATTTTGAGAACTCGTAGTAACTACTGAAAGCATACTTTCCTCTTTTCTAGGCCCAAATCCTTCAGATAAAAGAGGACATGGATCATTTGATAACCCAGTCGAACAGACATTGTAATTTAAAAACCATCTCCCTTAGATGTCCATGTATTAAAGTGCTGTTAAATCAATTCCAATAGATAGCAACCTTTTACAGGGTTTCTAAGGAGCAGCTGGTAGATTTGAACTACCGACCTTGTGGTTCACATTTCAGTGCTTACCCTACAGCGCCACACCAGGAGTCCTCAAAGTCCATAGCCACTTATTATTTGCATGTAAAATTAGCCTTTAAAA